GGTTGATTTTTGTATTTATTTTCATACATTGTACTTGGTTGCCCCATGACAAAAGTGGTTGTCAGGGACAACGTGATAATCACATGACTACCAATTTTGACCCCAGAGTACCATTACTCATTTCTTGTGATAATATTGGATACAATGATATATTATGCTGTTTTTGACTGATTTCTATACAAATAATAAATAATGTCAAGCCAATTGAAATTTGTCACAACTTACTGAATTACTGCATATATTTGCAATGAATTATGGGAGAACATGCTATTGTGGTTAATGAAATGACTGTAAAAACAGTAATGTGTCATGTGATGACATTTACCTCTGTTTTTAGTTGGAGGTTTTCTTGATGGCTGCCACTGTATAAAAGTCAGATTACTATCAACTGAATAATATCTTTCATATTGCTTGCTTTTCTTTCTCAGTTTTGTGAATGTGTTTCCTTTTTTCAACGCTTTCACCACATCATCTGTAAAAAATACCACATAATGATGACTTTTTTAATTATTTATAAATTTAATTAATCTCCAAGACCATCAATTAATATTTAATGAACATTAAACAATGCAATAGTTTGTTGATATTTTCTGTAATTCTTTGTGAATTCAATCTTCATTTCAAAACAAAAAGGCAAAATTAGACATTGCTTCTATTTTTTGATCAAAAAACTTGAAATTTGTATCAAAATTTTCTGGAAAAAGAGCAGACATTAGCACTAAAATACAATACATTGAATGAAATCAGACGAGAAATGTCCATGTAATGCTTGGCATACTGTAAAATGACTAATTTTAACTGGGTTTAAATTTCGCTGATTTACCATTTCAGGTATATTCAGTGGGTTTTATTCACAGTTTTATCATCCTAAATTTTACATATTCACTGGGTTTTAATTTAGCGCATGTTCCAGTCAGCGAAATAAGCAAAATTAAAACCCAGTGAATAATTAATCCTTTTACAGTATATGGAATATTGAGTTTGGTGATTTTTTGACTGGCAGTCAAATCAAAAAACAAATTGATCATTTTTTTAATAAAACAAGTCATTGTCACTTATAAAAGATATAAATATAAAATGCATTAAATTTGAGGGGACTATGGTACTATATTTCATATGATACCATATCAAGGTATTGTGGATCCTCTTACACATGTAGCAATCTACATACTGTAAAATACTTTATTTTTGCTTGTAATTTATTTTCGCTTATGATTCAGTGAAAATATAACTTTTTTTCTATATTTTACTTTATTTAACTCAACAATAAACTTCATACAAAGCGCCCCAAAAGTCTTTTCAGTGAAAATTAATTCCAGCTAAAATAAAGTATTTTAATCTTACTGCACTTTGAAGGAAACAATATCAATTCATATGCATTGGTGTTATCTGACTTGTAGTTTGTAGTTTTATGTCATGCACTGTTGATCAGTTATTACTGTAAATAGCGCAATACAAGTAAATAAACTATTATTATTATTAACACAGTTTTACATTTCCATGATAATAATAAATAACAGAAAACACATTAAACGTTGACGATAGTATTTTAAATGTGCACATGCTATATTATTTTTTTCAATCATATTTTCTATTTTGTGATGTTAATTATTAGATTGTAATCAGCATCAACAATAAATATAACTCAGCCGAGTAACACTGACATATTTGATATAAACTTCACTATGGCATCCTTGATTGATTGTGTGAATATTTACACTAATCACTGCATGCTGTTTTACCAGCCTGAAATTTCTTTGCTATGCATATACATGTACACTGTATGAAAGCCAACTTAGTCATGGGTAGAAAATCGTTTGCTGAACAGTATGACAATGAAATTTGAAAAACAAATATAAACATGTTACTAAACAATTAAGCTGCATTACAAAAATCATGTACTGTTTTAACTTTGTCAAAATCAAATCAAATCAAAAATTTGCACACTGGAAAAACGCTTCTTTTATAACATGCAAATTAGCTCACTCACCGTGGAGTATGTTAGGTGCTAAACCTATATACACTAGAACTGTGTATGGTGAAGAAAAAATAATGAATGTAAATGAAAGACTGGTATATGCAAAATACCTAATTTCTTTATCTACCCCTAAGATTTCAAATGCAACCCCTAAAAAAAGAAGCTTTTACATAAAATTGGTTGTCTGTATCTCTTGATGTATTAATTAAGATTAAACAGAAAAGGTTATTTCATTCAAGAGAAATTATCATGGAACCAATTAAGAAGCAGCCTCTCGGCTGAGATAGCTCCGCTGTTAGCAATGCACATTTCAATTAGAACTGAAGATATCATTAGAAAATGAACAATATGTATAGTATCAAAGCAATCAGACTTGCGGTTTTCAAAAGAAGTCACTTTTTACCAGAAATTATAAAAATATTCACCAAAATTAGAGAACTAAGATATCATCACGAAATGAACAAATCTGAGGTCCACATGTAGTATCTATATATGTAACATCAAAGTGATCGGACTTGTAGTTTTTAATAAGAAGTTGAAAATATCACTTTTTACCAAAAATGATAAAAATATTCACCAAAATTAGAGAATTGAAGATATCATCACTAAATGAACAAATCTGAGAGAGGTCTAGCCAAGGTACACATACACCAAGTATCAAAACATTCAGTAAAAAGTTGACACGAACGATGAACGCTGACGAACAATCACTCATAAGCTCTGCAGCGAAGCGGAGCTAAAAAACCCCATATGCATGATAATCATACAAACTTTGATCTAAATCAATCAATCAATCAATCAAGTTAAAATCAATCAAGTTCAAAATGGTCTTTTTTGTTCAAATCATCAAGTAACTTAACATGCATACCGGTATGTTGCGTGAAGTTTGAATGAAATTGATCAATTAGTGTCTACTCTAGGCATGATCAAATTATAGTCCTCTTTTTTGAACGGTGCCCAAACAGGCAATAATTATAGTCAAAGCAGATCAAACTTGATGAACCAGATGATCTCTATGTCACCTACTTAAATACATGTCATAATTTGTTATGTATGAAAAGAGGATGTAAACACTGCAGGGGTAAAGGGAATTTTAAAAACACTGTTGTGAGACTTCTTGATTGGTGCTAGCAAAGTTAGAGGGATCATAACATATAGAGCTGTCTAAGGAAATACAGGGTGATA